CCCACCCTCCCACTGCCCTTCCCCATCTCTCGTCCCCACTCTCCTGGAGAAGGATGCCAGTGCCTGGCACAGTGCTCTGAGGTGGCAGTGGGGCTTTGACAGGGAGCTGGTAGCTCTTGGGGAGGTGGGTCCATCCTTAGGACTCCAGTCTGGACAGGAGCTGCCTGTGGGCTCTTCATTAAAAACACCCTCACAATTTAAGGAAAAAAAATTCAAAATTGTGAATACTAAAAAAACACCCTCATGTTCTGCCTGACAGTAATAAAACCGTCCTACCTTGACTGTTTTATTTGGAGTCAAGTGCTTAGGCATTTTCCATCAGCACCATTGCTCTCCACAATCCTGCAATACAGGGATAATTTATTTAGGCTGCAGCATCCCCAGTGCCTTCAGCACAGCCCAGCATATAGTAGGCATTCAATAAACCTTCCTTAGGAAAGTAGATTCCCACTTCCTTGCTGAGGGTTACAGAATGTATAAAGGCCAGCTGGGCTGTGTCCATAGGTGCCTCCCAGAGCATGGCCTCTCTCCACTCTGCTCCTCTTGTAGCTTTTGGTTCTCAGCACCTCTTCTCTCTCCTGGGGGCTCCCTAACACAGGGGGCCAAAATTTGCTCCACATCAGGCACATATGTTTCCCGCCCTTCACAGGGCCCTGCACTCTGACTACTTACTCAGTCCTTTGCCCCTGCGGGGATTTCTGAGTGACTCTTGGAGTTCCCCCTGTACCCCTCTCACCCAAGAAGCTAACTCTCAACTGCTGGAGCTGCCCCTGCCCCCACCTCTGGCCACTCCTTTCCCCAGTGCCCATTTGTCTCTCATCCCTTATTAGTTTTCTTGTTGGGCCCTGGGCTTCTCCTTCCTCTTCTCCACATCCCCCTGGTCCCAATGCTTCAGTTCTGCTTCTGCAGTGATCCCCAGATCTGTCCCCTGCCTCCCATACGAGTTCTGAGGTGACTCATGCTGGCCTTCCCAGCATCTCCCAAACCCACTCCCACCCACTGTTCAACCTCACCAATAGCACTACTGTCCATCAGTGTGGATCCTTCTCCCTGGGCAACATGGGGAGTCCTCAGGGAGCTTCCAAGCCTCAAGCTCGTGCCTCCCTGAACTCTATTGTGTCCCTTTGTAACCTGTCATTTCCCCACTGTGCTCCCTGCTGATGAATAAAAACAGCCCAATGGCCACCCTGGCCTCCTGGCTCCAGTCTCCTCCACACAAAAGCTTCCTAAAGCCAAGTCTGACCCTGTCTTTCCCTTGCCTACAACTCTCCATGGTTCCCCACTGTCTTGGTCAACTCAGCCAGCCTTTAGAATAGAATCTTTGGTGCTCTGGCCCCTGCCAACCTCTCACAAGTCCCCTTGAATGCATAACAGCCAGTTTTTATGGACCCTAGAAAGCCAGGCCCACTCTGACCTCTGGACTTTCCATCTACCTTGCTCCGCTAACTCAGCCTTCAGGTCTCAGCTCACACACCCTTTCCTTGGAGCCCATGCGCTTCCTGGCTGGGTCAGGAAGCTCCTCTTCATTGTTGCCTTGTCCAACACAGCCCACCACTGCCCAGGCATTGGTCATAGCCCGGTCATTCTGGGTCATTCTGGCCTCTGCGCCTCACACTGGAGCCTTAGCCACTCTAGTTTCTCTCCTTGGGTCCACGTGAGATGGAATTATTTCAGCAGCTGGTCATTTCTGCAACCCTCACTTGTCCCAACATGTATAACAGGTAGGTAGGTCATGAGACGGAGGTGGGAAAGTGGGCTGCCACATCCATTTCCTTTCCCCATCAAAATGAGGTAGTCAAGCACTCCCAGCTCCCAAGACACCTGTGGGTGGTATTTACTCAGGCCACTGAGCTAGCTTAGTGGCTTCTGAACCTGAGAATACCTGGACACTCACAGCAGAGCTGACTTTTCCTAGGACTAAAGTTAAATAATATGAAGGATCACAATAGCCTGACAGAAAGAGGGGTCTGCTGTCCTATCCCATGCTGAGGATCTCACTGGGAATACCAAGGCTAGAGAGAACTTTCCTCACAGCAGGATTTGCATCAAGGTGGAGCTTAAGTGTGACATTCAAGGCCCTGTTCCTGAGACATCCCACTGGGGAGAGGGAGGAAATGGGCAAAGAGCTAGCCTAACAGACCAAAGAAGGGAGGCGACAGTGATGGTAGAGGGTGGCATCCAGGATAACATCCAAGTAGGTGGGCTCAGATGCTCTATTCCTGTATTCCACATTGAGAAAACGCAGGCCAAGGGTTTTTTTCTTTTGCTACCAGGGATCAAACTTGGGACCTTGCACTTGCAAGGCAGGCGGCGGAACCATTGAGCTAAATCCCCGGCCCAAGCCAAGGTTTGATCTGAAGGCCACAGACCTGAGTCAAAACACTGAGAAGCTCAGAATCAAATCTATACCTCACCCCCTTTCACAGTGGCCCCGTAGCTTGAATGATGTTAAGAATATGACTGTGCAAATCATCTCAGGGAGCAGCACAGAGATCAATGGCAAAACCAAACGTCACCGTCTTCTATACAATGAGGAGCTACAAATAGCTGTAGGCAAGGAAGGGTGATGTAGTAGACAGGTTTCAGATAGATCCCCTGGCTGCCATTCAGAGGACAGATCAGAGGGGAAGTTGATGCTGGAGGTAACCAGCAAGGGAAGAACCCAGTTGAAGCTGTCTGGAGGAACCCCCAAAAGCTGTCTTGTATTCTTGCTCTCCTCCATCAACTGTTCTCTGGTTTCTGTTGCTGCTCAAAGATCATTTACTTGAAGCCCTCAGTCCACAACAGGAAAACAAGAACCCTGAGGAACTGCTCCAGTTCAGCAGAAGTCAGTAGACTGGCTAGCAATCCAGCTTGCTACCTGGTTCCAAAGCCAGAATAATAGTAGGAATGGTAATGACACATCATAGTGAACTCCTGACAGAGACAACTTTCCAAATACCGTTTATTTCACTAAAATCTGGAGAGGAGCAGGTAAAAGGAATGCCAATGTCTGGGACACCAAGTCTAGGAGTGCACGTTGACGACAGCAACGTATAGGGCCAAGGTGCTGAGGGCCAGCAGCCCTGTTACCACTGCTCGGGCCAGCAGTGCTGTCCAGCTGCCCAGGGAGCAGAGGTGGACGAAGGTCCTGTGGGGAAACATCACAGTGAGGGAAGGAGAATAGAAAACCCACCCCTGTTTGGACCCAGCCACACACAACCCACCCAACTCACTCCATGACAAAGGCCTTGTAGACACTAAGGAATATCAACAGGAGGACAGCTGGCCGGAAAGTGTGGTACAGGTCATAGCGAGTTATCATCCAGACCTGGGTGGACGCAACAATGTAATGAACCTGGAGGGAGAGAGGGAAGAAGTTGGGGTTGAGCCTTGGGAAGAAATATGGTCACCAGCAAAGAGTCAGGGAAAGCAGGACCGCATACCAGACTGATGTTGGAGTCAATGCTCATCTGGATGTATTTCCAGTCAAACTCAATGCCTCGGGCTCCAACCCAGAGGGGGATGCAGCTGAGGAAGGCAAAGGGATGGATTCTCCAGTATCTAGACACCCCGCGAACCCATACTCTGTGCCCCAACCCTCCGGCACCCCTGTGGAACCCAGGTGTCCTTTCTCAGGATCTGGGATCCAGTCTGCTGCACACACCGGGACATAATGAGCTCGGCGGTGGCCCAGCCCAGGGCAGCCACCATGATCTTGTACTCCCCCTTGCCGGCATTCCTGGACATGACAAGGTTTAGGCCTATCAAGTCAGCCACGTCCACGCTGGCCTTCATGAACTCCTGTGGGTCAGAGTGAAATCTGAGTAAGCACAGGGGCTGTCAGTCTCACTCCTGCACTCCCGCCCCTCCCTTGCCCCACTCACCCCGATGAAGTCATAGATGCCGCCTTCCCAGGTAGGGAAGAAAGTGGCCAAGAACAGCATCTGAGAGCAGAAGGCAGAAAGGTCATCTCAAGGTGAGGGGATAACTCACGTGGGTTTTGTGGGAAGCTAGGGTATAAGTGGAGGGCAGGATGCTGGTTTTGGGGTCCATCTGGGAGACTGTGGTAAGATCACTAAATTGGGGGAGATTAAGAAGGTAGGTTCTCTGCTCCCTGCAGGGGCTGGAAGTCACAGGGGAATCTGAATCGTGTGTAGAGGTGTTGGGGTGGCTCCCTGGGCAGTGTCAGGACCGCGCAACACCTCGGGGTTAGTTACCTGTCTTAACCATATCAAAACAAATCACCTCTTAGAGAACCTTACAAGTGACATGGTTTCACCAAAAGTGCTAAGAAAAAGTTGCTTCGAGACCTTTCCTTGAGTTCCATCTCTTCTAAGGTCTATCGTCTTAGGCAGAGGGGAGCGGTCCTTCTGCAGAGTCCCGAGAGCAGTACCACAGTGGGGGTTAGCGGCAGGGCCAGGTCCCTGGGTCTAGAGAGCCTGGGGGCCAGACACGTGGGTTCCGGGCGGCCCTCACCTTGCATAGCTGCACAAAGAGATAGGTGACCCCGGCTTGGACGCATTTCCAGAAGGCGTTGTATTCAGACCTGGAGAAGCGGGCGGTGAGGGGTCGGCCTGGACTCCGCGCCCTCTCCGCCCCGTGCCCACTCCGAACTCACAGGCCGCTGCACTTGTACGTGATGAAGTAGGGGAAGTAGGCGAGGGCGAAGCAGTTTCCGAAGTGGAACAAGGTCATGCCGCCGGCAGCCCCGTCCCACCGGCGCGGGAGTCGCGAGGGGGCGTCCCTAGGAGCAGGTCTGGGGTACCTCCGGCACTCTTGAGGGGCCGGGGCCTGACGCCCACCTGAGTGGACCGGCCCGCGCTCTGCCTTCTGGGAGCTGTAGTCCGGCCCGGGGCGTCGCGCGCGTTACGTCAGATCGTCGCCGCCCCGCCCCCTTCCCAGTGCGCTACAGTCCTGTGCTAAGTGTATTTGCACCCGGCGTCCCCCGCAGCGGGCGTACCCGTTTCCCGACGTGAACCCTGACCTGAACGCGCAGTGACTGGCACACAGACCGGGAGCAGTTGTGAATACTTGGGTTTTTATTTCGCCCGGGGAGCCGAGTGCGGGAACGGGAGTGCGAGGACTCAAAGGAGGGGCCTTCCTGCTCTACTTCTCTCGGCTGAACATGTATCGGAGGAGGTCGACCACCCGGTGACTGTAGCCATATTCGTTGTCGTAACTGCAGAGGGACGGAAAGGGGCTTCAAGGCGATCCCTCCGACCACCCCCAAGACTTCCCCCACGATCCTTTGACACCATTTTTTTTCCCTTACCAGGAAATGAGCTTCACGAACTTGTCATTGAGGGCGATGCCAGCCTTAGCATCAAGGGTGGACGAGTGGTTATCACCGACAAAGTCCGTGGAGACCACCTGGGTGTCATAGTTTCAGAGATAAGGGTGGGTAGTAGAGCAAGGACCTCCAGGAGCTTAGGCTTTTGCTCTTAGGGCACAATGTCTAATTACTTACAATATTTGATGGAGGCCTACTGTATCTGGGGACAGGGTGTGACCAAGGAACATGGGGGCTTTGCCTGTGGGGGACTCTCAAAGGGACAGGCTACACACAGGGTCGAGGATTTAGCTCAGTGGTACCACCACCTGCCTTGCAAGTGTAAGGTCCTGAGTTCGATCCCCGATACCAAAAAAAAAAAAAGGGACAGGCCACAAACACCCTAAAGTTGTACCAATTAACATCAGTTCTTGGAAATAAGATGGGTACTTGGCATGGGCCCTCATGGAGGCTGTCTTTGAGGGTGGCCATGGGACCAGGTCTCAGTGACCAGGATCTGGCAGTCTTGGGCACTCACCACAGTGTCTGAGGTGGAAGGAGTGGCAGGCACACAGGCCCTGTGGGTTTTACCCTTAGTAATGGAACACAAAAGGGTTTTTCCAGCAGTGGAGGTGATCTGGTCAGATTCTTCTAAAAGAGATCCTGCTACTTCTGAGTGGGACTGCAGGAGCCAAAGCAGGACAGAGCACCCAAGCAGGTGTGCAGAGATAGCACTTCTGATGGAGATACCTGCTCCAGGGAAGACATAGATGGTGACATCCACTCCCAGGGAAGACACCTGGCATGGCCTGGCTGTGAGCAAGTGTTGAAAAACTAGGAGTGTGTATTGAACACCTGCAGTATGCCAGGCCCTGGGAGCTACAAAACTGAAGAGATAGATCTCAGATACCTTATTTCTTGGAGGGCACGTAATAGTGTGTCTGACAGTGACTGTGAAGCAAAATTTTTGGTGAGGAAAGGGGGCACAAAAAGAATATCTTTCAAGGAGAAAGGGCAGGGGTTGAAATAAGAGACTTGGAGGAACTGAGGGCAGATTTGTGGCCAGATGGGGAGAAAGTGTTCTAGACTACAGGAGCAGCAAGTGTAAAGGCCTGGAGGCAGGGAGATCTACTTCCCTAGGCAAGCAGTCTATCTTGACACACTGAGAACAGTTCCTTGGTAAGTAGAGATCACCCCACCCCCATCTTAGAGGGCTCCTCCCAAGGTGGTCTCAGCCCCTACCTCATCCTCAGTGTAGGCAAGGATGCCAGCCATGGGTCCCTTGGCTGCTTCTTTTACAGCATCCTTGATGACTGAGTAGGGGGCAGCCTGGGCTAGGCAGCAGGTGAGGTCCACAACAGATACATCTGGGGTTGGCACTCGGAACACCATTCCTGTGAACTTCCTAGAGAATCCCATAGTAGGGGTGGGAGTCAGAGCCTGCCCCTTTGCTTTGGGGCTACCTAGACATTCTGGGGTTTATCTCCCACCCTCGCCACAGCTTCCTGTCCTCATACCCTTTGAGGTCTGGGATGACTGCGCCCACAGCTTTGGCTGCCCCTGTGGAGGCTGGGATGATGTTCTGGTGGGCACCCCATCCATCTCGCCAGGCCTTTGATGGCCCATCCACTGTCTTCTGGGTGGCTGTGTAGGAATGGACTGTGGTCTTGGGAAAGGAGATGGTCAGAGTGAGGCCTTCCAGCCCTTAAGCTCCCATACCTCATTCTTCTAGGACTGGGTTGGTGGCTGAGCTGTGGAGGGTGATGGGGCCAGCACCACAGACTACATGGAGGAGAGGTGCATGCAGGCTAGGGTCCAGCCTTGCCTGAGAGTTGTACATTGTTTTAAAACCAAACACTGTCTGGGCATGGTGGTGCATGCCTTTAATTCTAGCACCGGGGAGGCTGAGGCAGTAGGATTGCTATGAGTTTGAGGGCAGCCTGGGCTACATAGTGAGTTCAAGGCTAGCCTGAACTACATAGGGAGGCCCTGTCTCAAAAAACAAAACCGAACACTAACACTGTCCACCGGTGGGCTTCCTCCAAACCATTCTCTTCCTGCTAACTCCATACACTAAGCAGGGCCTCAGAGGAGGTTGGGTTTCCCTGCTGTCCCTCCCACTGTACCCCTGAGCCCCAACTCACCATCAACCCTTGCACAATCCCAAATCGCTCATGGATGACCTTGGCGAGGGGGCCCAGGCAGTTGGTGGTACAGGACACATTGCTGAAATGGCCCACACGTGTTAAGGGCGCTGTGAGATGAGTCACAGCCTCCTTTCCACCCTCATGGTTTAGTGAGAAGTCAGGATGGGGATGAGAGGGCTCAGTGAGGGTGCCATCAGGTGGCAGAGACACTGAGGTGCAGCTAGGGGAGGCTCCCTAAGCATGTCCTCTGGACACTGTGTTTCCTCTGGAAGTCTTAACAGGTAGTTTAAAGGTATTAAGATGATGATTTTGACATGTAGGGACAGAGAAGCAGGAGCAAACTGATGTGAAAGAAGGGTCAGTGATCTAGCAGGAGTGGGGTAGGTGAGTTTTCCTTTCCCTTCACAGGCTGGCATGTCCTGGCACCACCCACACCCCTCAGGATATTGCTGCCCTGTTACCTGACAATTTTCATAGAGCCAGGGTTATATTCCTTCTCATTCACTCCCATGACAAACATTGGTGCATATGGTGAGGGTGCGCAGATGACCACACGGCGGGCACCTGCTGAGATGTGTGCCTAGCAAGGGAGCGTAGGAGTCAGGTGCTTCAAGTGTCACAGCCTCCCAGCTAGCCCTGGCCACCTCACCCCACTCACCGATGTTGCCTCTAGGGACAGGTACACACCTGTGGCCTCCACCACATAGGGGTTCCCGACCCCACTCCAGGGTGTTTCTTTGGGGTCTTTGCTGTGGAGAGTGGCAGGGCTGTGAGGAATTGCCCCTGTACAGGCCTCACCTTCACATTCATTCCATATCCTTAACCATGTGAAGACATTTCACTGCTGACCAGACACCTGCTTGGCCTGTCACAGCCTACCCCGCCATCCCATGCATACCTGGCTGCCCTAGGGGGTGCCATCCTGCCAGCTTTTCATCACTACCCCTTATGGGCCATTCTTCCTTGCCTGGTATGCCTGGATACAGACCGCTACCTCCCCAATTCAGGACACCGTTCTCAGCAGGACCATTCTTGATTGTGTTCAGTGGGGTCTGACCCTTTCAGCATAAGCTCCCCAGATGACCTTGTGCTGTGAGGCCTGGTCTGCTGCTTTCTGGTCAGCTTCACTGTGAGCCCTCCTAGACCCTCTTTACCACCAGTTCCTGCAACAGGGTGCCACTGCTAGAGGCTGAGAAGTCCCCAAAGGCAGACACCTGCATCCAGAGAGCTGGGAGAGCTGTGGTCTGAGGCAGGCATCCTTGTGGCCAGCAGTGGCTTGTCAGCAGGCAGTAGGAAAGTAAAAGAGGCTTTCTGGTCCTTGTTTTATCAGTCTACATTTTTACTTGATATTTTGACAAGTGTTTGTATCTGAAATGTATTAAACATCTATTGCTGTTTTCTACTTGGCTTTTTAGTAATCAAGCATGAAATGAACCAACTGTATGGCAGCCTTGTCCCTTAAAGAGTTTATCACAAATAACAGGGATATTTGCTTCTGTGATTATTTGTTTGCATCCATGCCATCTTCTAGACCATTTCATAATATAGGGCTGGTCTGTTTCCTTTGTTATTGATTCTGTCCCCGACCCAGGGTGGGGTGGGGGTGGGGTTCAACCGATGTTTGTGGGCCCTTTCTTTCTTTATTTTTTGTGGTATTGAAGATTGAACCCAGGGCCTTCACACTGAGCTACATCTTCAGACCTGTTTAAAAAAATTTTTTTTGAGACAGAGTTTCACTATGTAGTTCTGACTGGCCTTGAATTCACTATGTAGCTCAGGCCTCGAACTCATGGTGATCCTCTTGCCTCAGCCTCTCAAATGCTGGGATTACAGGCATGTGCCACCATATCTGGCAAATTTTTAAATTCTTGAGACAAGGTCTTACTGAGTTGCCCAGGCTGGGCTCAAACTTGTGATCCTCCTGCCTCAACCTTTCAGAATGCTGGGAGGTCTTTTTAAAACTAACCATTCTAGGCTCCCGGCTGACTCTGTGGACTGATGGAGACCAGTGCCGGAGCCTAGAGGATCCAAGAAGCACCCACCTCGCCCCCAGCTGGTGCCATAACCCTCGCCCTGTGGCAGAGCCCGGAGGACTTGGGAACAGAGTGCCCCGCCTCTAGTCCCTAGGTTCTCCACAGCACAGGGCAACAGAATTTACAACCAACAGACAGACCTAATTGAAGAAGACATCCACCCAGGAGGACAGTCTTGCTTCATGACTGAAGTGATACCCATCCACAGAGACTGGGTGAGAGACAGCCTTGAAAGAGGATTGGAGAGGGTGAGGGCTACATAGGGATCTCCTGGGATCTCCTAGGAGGCCCAGGCTCAGACCAGGAAGATCACAGGGTCTGTATTCTGTTGTGGGAGGCCAGGTTTGGTGGGAGTAACCATCAGAGGGGTTGGTCCTGAAGAAGAAAGCATTTAACCTAGAGATATGCTTGAACTCTGGAGGCGTGCCAATATCCAGCAGAAATCAGTGCTCTGAATCACTTTAGATAAAAATCAGGGGAGCCCAACTGCCTTCACTAAAATGAGAGTCCTCTTTGCTTTGGTAAAGGGTTGTTCATGAGTGGTTCCTAGGGTTTGTCAGTATCCACTTGACATTTGATACCACTGTTGCTGAATTTACTACCATGGGCACAGGGCCGAAGAATTTGCAAACCCCAGCACAAAAAACAAACCCCAAACCAGAAACAATAAAAACAAAGCAACAAAATGCTTTCAAAAACTCCCAGCTCTCCTAAAGTCAGTATAGGGGGCAATGAGGGGGAGGAAATAATAAGCTACACAGCAGATAGGTCTGAGAGAAACCAATGGAAGTAAAACAGTTCTATAAGGTGCTTGGCAAAGTTATAGAAGATATAACTAATCACATAATGACTGTAATGAAACAAATGATCAGAGTCTAGAGAAGACACAGCTAGTGAAGCTAAATAAAGAGATGTAAAACATGAATGCCCAGCATAGAAAAAAATGGGAGTCAAGAAAGATCCAAACAAATCCAGGAGATTAAGAACATGATTTAAAATCTGGGTAGCAGAAACCACCAATGCAAAGACAGAGTGTCAGACCTAGAGGACAGGGCTGGGGTCAGTGATCAATTAATGAGAGACCTTAAAAAACAGCGGAGGAATATGAAAAATGGATACAATAGCTTCTAGATGACTCAAAGAGGTCTAAAATAGCAGTAAATGGAATTAGCAAAAAATCAGAAGAGAGCTCAAAGGGCATAAACAACTTGTTCACATAAGTAATAGAAAATTTTCCAGAGATGGAAAAAATTTAATGTACAGATAAGTGAAACATATAGATCCCCAAATAACCATGATCAGAAAAAAACCCCCACTTTACACCACATAATAATTAAAATACCAGAAATACAACACAAGAAAAGAATCTTAAAGGCTGCTAGAGAAAAGCAACAAATTGGGCTGTGCGTGGTGGCAGATGCCTGTAATCCCAGCACTTGGGAGTCTGAGGCAGGAGGACTGCAGGCAAGCCTGGGCTACACAGTGAGTTCAGGCCCAGCCTGAGCTACAAAGCAAGACCCTGTCTCAGACAACAAGAACAACCACAACAAAAAAAGCAATGAATCGCCTATAAAGCAAAACCTGTCAGAATTACAACCAGTTTCTCAACACAAACCTTAAAGGCAAGGAAAGGATGGAATGGAGTGTTTGAAGCTCTTAGAGAAAACAACTTCCAATCCAGACTGTTTAATCCTGCAAAATTATCTTTCAGAATTGATGGAGAAATAAGATGCTTTCATGATAAAGAAAACCTAAAGAAATTTATGATCACCAAACCAACACTCCAAAAAACTCTCAAGAATATCCTAGAGACAATGAAGCTAACGCCAAAAGGCCCATTAAAATGAATACATCAGATAGGGAGAGTAATTAAAATGGGATAGAAAGCAAAACAGTACTAGGGAATTAATACAATGACAGGAATAAGTCAATACCTATCAATTATAACTATCAATATAAATGGATTTAACTCACTAATAAAAAGATTAGCAGAAAAAAAGATTAGCAGAATAGATCAAGAAACAAAACCCAGTGGTACACTGTATACAAGAAACACTTTTAGGGCCAGGTACGTAGCTCAATGGCACCGCGCCTGCCTGGCAAGCACAAGATCTTGAGTTTGACCCCTAGTACTGGGAAAAAACAAACATTTAACACAAAAAGAAACTTATAGTCTAAAAATTAAAGGATGGAAAACAATATTCTATGCAATGGTAACCTGAAAACAAGCAAGAGTAGCTATCCTATCTTCAGACAAAGTGGATTTCAAACCAAAGCTGATCAAAAGAGGCAAAGAAGGACATTACTTTCAATCTTCCTGCCCCAGTCTCCCTAGTAGCTGGAATTATGGGCACATGTCCCTGCCTGCCTCAGTATACAATTAGACTGGGAGTATAGCTCAGCAGAAGAGTGCTTGTCTAGCATGAGCAAGGCCTTGGCTTTTGGCTTTAATCCCCAGCACTGCAAGAAACAAAACAAAACAAAATAATTAAGGCATTATTGCTTTAAAAAATGCTACTGGGTGTCTAGTTCCAGCTACTTGGAAGGCTGAAGCAGAAGGATCATTTGAGCCCAAGGGTTTGAAACCAATCTAGGCATCATCGCAAGATCCCATTTCTTAACAAACAAACACACAAACAAAACTAACAATGCTAAGGGTTATATGAGCTGTTGGAAAATGGTATCAATAGACTTGGTCAATGCAGGGTTACCACAAAGCTTCAACTGTAAAAAAATGCAGTGTATGTGAAGCACAGTAAAGGAAAGCACGATGAAGTGAGATTTGCCTGTATTCAAGTGAATTTTTTTTTGTACTGTGGATCAAACTCAGGACCTTCTGCTTGGGAGGCAGTCGGTGGCACCACTGAGCCCAATCCCTGGCCCAGTGCTGCCTCTTCAAGTTCCTTCTGCTCCTCAGTCTTTAAGAAACCACCGAATAATATCTTCTCACAGCACCCTGTTTCTTTCTTTGTCGCTTTTCCTGTAATGTGTCACAATCAAGTTGTTGGTTACTGGCGCCATATCTCCACCATGGGCTCCAAACCTGCCATAGGACGTGTACCCTGACCTATTTTGTTCACCACTGTGCCTCCAGTGCCCAGTACAGGGTCTGGCACAAAGCAGACTTTCAGTAAACGTTTGTGAAAGATCAGGTAGACAATGGCATCTTCCTCTAAACCCTGATGTGGGGGCTTGTTTTAACATCAGTGACTCACAGGTAAGCACCCTCGCTTGTAGGGCCAGTTGACAAGCAGCTGTGACCAAGATTTAGGGGTGTGAGAATTTGCGCCATAGGTGACACCATCCCAGAGAGAAAAGTGGAAGTATAAAGTCACAGAATGTCATAACCTCTTCTTTCCCCAAACCTCTATGGAAACTCAGTTTGCCAAGTACCTGCCAGGGACAGGAATTGCTGAAGCTTTCCTGCCTGGATGGTCTGGGAGAAGTGGGGCTGAAAATAATCTGGGGAAAAATGAGGTGATTTCGATGAACCAAGGCCAAAAATCCAGATGGCTAATCAAACAAAGGGGAACAGATTTTAACATGCACAATCAAGGAGGAAAAAACAACACAAACAAAACCAGGCATGAGAAGGGATTGATTTTATACAACTTTGCAATAGCATATTTGAAATTTTAGATGCAATTGAAAATTCTTTTTCAAAAATTTAAATGATCAGGTTGGGCATGGTGGTATATACCTGTAATTCCAGTAGTCTGGAAGCTGAGGCAGGAGGATCTCAAATTCAAGCCCAATCATGGTAATTTAGTGAGGTCCTGCCTCAAAAAAAAAAAAATTTTTTTTTAAAGGGACAGTGTAAAGGCCTTGGATTCAGGGCTGGGGATTTAGCTCAGTGGTGCTGCCACCTGCCTTGAAAGTGCAAGGTCCTGAGTTTGATCCAGTACCAAAAAAGAAAAGGCCTTGGATTCAATCCTCCACCTCACCCCTAATCAAAACTGATGTTAAGGGGCCAGGGGTTTAGCTCAGTGGTTTTGCTGCCTGCTGCGCAAGCGCAAGGACCCGAGTTTGATCTCTGGTACCAAAAAAAAAAAAACCCCACCCCCCCCCCCCGATGTTAAGAAGAAACAGACCAGCCCAATAACAAGAAGAGAAATAGATTATGATATGTCCTCCCCAAGAGTGGTTCAGATCCACATAATTTTATGGGTAGCCCTGCCAAAGCACTGGGAGCAAATATTCACCATTCTATATGAACCACAGTGATCTTAACTAGAGCTGGGAAGCCCAGTGACCCCTGCTATTCAAAGAGAGCTCTGGGTAGGGCACTTGCTGTGAGGCTGTTTGCTGGACAAACCATCATACGTACATACGTACCCTGCACCTGCTCTGGAGCTCCTTGAGGACAGCCATGGTGGCCCAGCTACTGAAACTTCCTCCATTCACTCTAGCAAAACAGTGCAGCCAAGTTACCAAAAGCAGCCAAGGCCCATGACACAAGATGGGATAATTCCAGGCCAATGTCAGTTCTAGCGACAGATGCCAATGTCCTGAATCACACAGTAGCAAAGGGGAACAGAAGGACTTGAGAGAGAGGGATTGGGGGTGACAGGAGAGGGAGGAAGGCAGAGAGGATGGAAAAGAAAAGATGGAATGTGTTTCAAAAGGAGAACCCCTGCTTCTCAACTTGGTGCAGGTCAGAACCCTGAAGCTCATCACCCGCTCTTCCTTGCCTGGCCACCTCTTGGACTGGGACACTCCATGATTTAGGGACAAGATAGGAGAGCCACACCTAGGGTTGCCCAGGGATCTGCCTTGGTCACAGGAGCATGAAACCGAGAAATAGATCTGATGAGCTCATGCTTGGAGAGGTGGCCCAATTAGTCACCTCTATCTGCAGAGCTCAGAGAAGGTCTCTGGCCTGGGATGCCTGGTTCTGGGTGGAGCCAACTGTCCAGGATCTGGGGCGGAACCTTGGGTCATCCGAGGAGAGTGAGCCTGGTGCCCTGGTTTGGGCAAAGCCTGAAAACAAGTGCAGATCCTTGCCACACCTGGGCACCCACACGCATAACTCCGCCACCCCCACCAGCTCACACCCTGCACATTCCTTTGTGCCTGGCCTTCCCACCAACAACCCATTTCCACTCCTGGTATCAAACCCCATATGTCTTTCACCCCATGCACAAAACTGTTCCCATCCACTGGCTCCATCCAAACTAGCTCCCCGGTAGACACGCTGCTGTAGACTTAGCAGCCACCACTTGCCCTTCCTTCCAGTGTCCCTCTTCAGCCACAGACCAAACTCCCATCTGTTTTCCCCTCCAACCTGAGCCAATAAGTCAACACTTGGGGCTTCAGATCAGGATTTGTGAGGCCCCAGGGGAGGAGAGCAGGAAGGAAGAGCTCCTAACCCCAACCCTCCTGCTAGCCGACCGCTCCTGCTGCCCCAGGGCCCTGGCTCCTCCCTGTGGCTGCCTCAACTGGATTTTCAGGAGACACTGCCTCTCAGCTCATGGCAATCACCCTCAGCCCTTGCCCAAGGGCTGGGAGGCAAGAGGACTGGGTTCCATGATGACAATGTGATCCTGACTCTAACCCTCCACATGGGACTCTGCTGCTGTGGGGATCCAGGCTCCCTTCCCTCCAGCACACCATGAGACTGAGGCTCAGGCTTGGACTCTCTTCCTTTGGCTTCTTCTAACTCTCTCATGTGTTCCATCTATAACTATTCACTGAGCCCCACACAATGTTCTAGAATCTAGGGATATAGCAGTGACCCACACAGATAAAGGCCCTGTCCTCTGGAAGTTTATAATTGGGAGGTGAGACACAATAAGAAATAAAGATGATTTTAGATCATTATACATGCTGTAGGAACAAATGGATGATATTTGTTTGTTTTTTGTCTGTTTTTGTTTTTGTTTTGTTTGGTACCGGGGATCAAACTCTGGTCCTTGAGCTTGCACAGCAGGTGGCAAAACCACTGAGCTAAATCCCCGGCCCAACAAATGGATGATATTATAGAGGGGAACTATTACCATGTTGATCTCAGGGGTGCTCAGGGAGGGATTTCTGAGAAGGTGATATTTGAACCTAGTACAGAATAGGGAGGAGTCTGTCATGTGAGGCTCTGTTTTTTTTTTGTTTTGTTTTGTTTTTTGGTACTGGGGATTGAACTCAGGTCCTTGCACTTTCGAGGCAGGCAGTGGAACTACTGAGATAAATCCCCGGCCCTGGCTTCTGAATTCTAAGCAGAGACAAGGACAAGTGCAAAGGCAATGGAGCAGTAATTTGTGTAGTGTGGTTGAGGAACTGATATGATGCCTGTGTGGCTAGAGCACAGTACCTGAAAATGGGAGTGGGGGTCCACAAGAGCAAGGTCTGATGACTCCCCCAATTCTCCTGGAGCTCTTCCCTCCCTCTGACCATTCCTCCCAACTTTCCAGACTCTCATTGCTGGGGAAAGTGGAGCTAAGGTCTCTCAGAGGAGTAATAGGGCTGCAGGATCACAGGGTCCCAGGTATGGCAGGTGGTTGGAGGTGGGTTTGTAAAAGAGGAGGCTTAGACCTTGGGTCAGGAATGAAAAGAGGAGGTGGTGGCAGGCAGACACCCTCCTCTCGGGTAGAGGGCCTCAGAGGGGCAAGGAGCAAAGATGCTAGGGCTCTTCTCTATGCATGACTCACCCTCTCTTCTTTCTCTTCATTGCCCAACACCAAATCTCCCTGAGAAATACCTCCTTGACTGGTGACCAAGTCACTGCCTCACAGGAGGAGATGAGTCATGAGGGGTGGAGAAGAGGGCGGGAAGGGGGAGGATAAATAGCAGTCTTGCTTCCCAGGCTCCTCTCTGCATTCTCCCCATTTTCCCAACAACATGCATCCTGCCAGTTTACTCAGCTCTTGCTGCCTCCTCCTGCTGCTGGGGGCCCTGCCTGGATGGGCAACCAAAGATGATCCTATTGAGAAGGTCATTGAAGGGATCAACCGAGGTCTGAGCAATGCAGAGAGAGAAGTGGGCAAGGCCCTGGAAGGCATCAATAATGGAATCACTCAAGCTGGAAGGGAAGTGGAGAAAGTTTTCAATGGACTTAGCAACATGGGGAGCCAGGCCGGCAAGGAGGTGGAAAAGGGGATCAACCACGGCTTGGACAAGGTAGCCCATGGGATCAACAATGGCATCGGACACACAGGAAAGGAAGCAGAGAAACTTGTCCATGGGGTCAACCACGCGTCTGGACAGGTTGGGAAGGAGGCAGACAAAATCTATCATGGGGTGCATTCTGGGGTCAACCACGCGGGAAGTGAAGCAGCGAGGTTTGGTCAGGGAGCCCACCATGCTGCAGGGCAGGTTGTGAAGGAAGGAGAGAAATTTGGTCAAGGGGTCCACCATGCTTTTGATCAGGCTGGAAAGGAGGCACATAAGTTTGGTCAAGGAGCCCACCATGCTTTTGGTCAGGCTGGGAAGGAGGCACATAAGTTTGGTCAAGGAGCCCATCATGCTTTTGGTCAGGCTGAGAAAGAGGCACATAAGTTTGGTCAAGGAGCCCATCATACTTTTGG